GAGAGACACAGAAAACACACACACAGTGAGAAACACACACACACATTCAGTGCGAGAGAGTCACACAGTGAGAGACAGACAACACACACAGTGAGAGAGACAGACAACACACACAGTCAGAGAGACAGTCACACACACACATTCAGTGCGAGAGACAGACACATACACACAGTGAGAGACAGACACACACACACACACATTCAGTGCGAGAGATAGACACACACACACAGTGAGAGACAGACACACACACACAGTGAGAGAGACAGTCACACACACACACAGTGAGAGAGACAGACACACACACACAGTGAAAGACAGACACACACACACACATTCAGTGCGAGAGATACAGTCACACACACAGTGAGAGACAGACAGACACACACACACACACAGTGAGATAGAGACGCGCAGAGTGACAGAGAGCAACAGAGAGAAGCCACGAAGCGACAGACGCAAACACTGGACCACAGAGACTCCACTCCGGGCGCCGTTGGGCGCGTGCGTTTTTTTTTTCTGTTTCGCGTTCCATTTTTGTTTTTGGTTTGAATTTTTTTTATTGTAAAGCTTCGAGGAAGGAATAATTACAATGAGTTTCTTCTGCTGATTGCTGCCGCGTAAAACAAAAGACGAAAAAGAAAAAAACACGAGAGGGGGGGGGGGGGGGGGAAAGGGGCGGAGAGAGAGAGAGAGAGAGAGAGAGATAAAAATCATATATCACATGCTCAATCGAAAATAATAATAATAATAATAATAATAATAATAATTCAAAACTGTGCTTACCGTCTGAACAAACCTCATAAGGTAAATTTTACCAAAAAATCAGTGGTGTAACTAGTTTAAAAAGCGTCACATATCCAAACAAACAGCTTATGGTTCTGAGTACGCATATTAAATCCCATCTAAAAATATCAATGCATGTTGTTTTTTCCCGATCGGGCTGATTTTTCTCTTAAATATAAAAGCAACACTTCTGCATGTACATAAAACTGTACAGAAAGACAATGCATACAAGCAGTTAATTTGTATATATATATTTATATATATATAGAGAGAGAGAGAGAGAGAGAGAGAGAACCGACTTCGAATGGTATTTTTATTCCCCCCCCCACCCCATCCCCACCCACCCGGCAGTGAACGAATGGTGTGTTTAATCTACCCCGAACCCCACCCTCCCTCCCCCCCCCACCCATGTTGCTGTTAGTCTTTGTTTCTCAGCCAATCCCCCCACACCCACCCCCACACCACCCAACTCCCCCTCACTCACACACACACACAAATCCCCCCCCCCCCGACCCCAAGATTGCAGACCCCATATAGGTCCAGCTGAACGCATAATTGCCTCGTTCCCGAATTTCCTAAAGCTTCCCCCACTCCCCCCCCCTGTTATCCTACGTTCCCATCCGTGTCCCCCCTCCGCACCTCCACCCCAACAGACAACCCCCCCCCCCCTTTCCCCCCACAGTGGCTGACTGACAAGAGCGAGGATAGTCAAAGAGGCTACCAAACACTGATCATATTCCCACCACACTTCCAACATCACCCCCCCCACTCCCCACACACTCCTGCCCCCCCATCACCCCCCACCCCTCAACCACACACAGATTTTCCCCAACAAGTCAAGAGGGAGGAAGGGATGGTGGGTAGGGCGGTGGGTTTGCATCGATCAAACCGCGCTCTCTTGGCCTCTTCACTCCCCCCTCCCACGTTAAAAAAAATCACCACCATTTCCTCTCCCCCCCCATCTCCCCCTCCCATGATTCTCATTGAGCTTACAGTCTCGTTGCCCGCTTCCCCCCCCATTTCCCCTCTTCCCCGTCGAGCCCTATATGGGAGTGGGGGGTGGGGTAGTAGATTGTCCCAGCGTTTGTGGGGGTGAGGAGGTGGTGGGGGGGGGGGGGGGGGAATGGGGCACAGATAGATTAACCCCTTCTACATCTATCGATCACACTGTTCGATGACACGAGTGGATCGAATGCCATAACCCAACGAGCAACGACAAACAAATTGCATTTACAAAAGCACCTTTCATGTCGGGAGGACGTCCCAAGGCATTTGACTTCTCCCCCCCCTCCCTCCCCGCTCTCAGCCTCCCCCCCTCCCTCCCTCCCTTCCTCCCCACTCCTTCCCCGCGCTCCCCACACCTCACCAGCTACGCACCGACTGCACTACAAGGCACTGTTAACCCTCTGACTCCACTCTCTCTGGGGGTGGTGGGAGGTGGGGTGGTGTGGGGGGGGGTTCTAAAATTTCTGGGGGAATGGGTGGTGGTGGGGGGAGTGGGGTGTGTGTGTGGGGGTGGGAGGGGTAAGGGAGAGAGGGTGCAGGTGACTTGGCGTCCTCGCTCAGATACCTCGGTATAAGAAACGTCGCAAAATAAGACAAGTTTAGCACATGCCCCGTTTGGTCGGGCGGTCGGTCGGGAAGTTTGCACTTTACGCACGGACGGTTTAGTTTACTACGATTTTCCACGTTAAGGCTCCGGAGTTCTCTGTATGTACGGTCAGTGGGGGGGGGAGGTGGGGGAGGGGGGGCGGGGGCAGAGGGGGACGACACCCAACATCTTCGCAACCAGAGACGCCAAACGTCCGAAACTTCCTGAGAAAAACACCAGCAAGGAACCCCAAAACATCCCAAGGTTCCCGGGCGGGGCAGTCTTATGTTGATCAACTCAATACACTCCACCACACCCCCCCCCCCACCCCACCCCACCCGCTCCATGCCCCCCCCCCACCCCACCCGCTCCATGCCCACCATCTCTCAGTCTCTTTCTCTTCCCCCCTCTCTACCATCGCCTGTTCTCATCGCCACACTCCCTATGGAGCAAGGCACAATGTAATCGCTCTCTCTCTCTCTCCCTCTCTCTCACTCACTCACTCACTCACACACTCTCTCGCTAGCGATGTCCGGTCTCCCTTGACCTCCGAGACGCGAGGCGCCAACACCGCTCTCGCCAGACGGGATAGACAGGACAGACGGACGGGTAAACAGTTCTTTCATTCCATTCACAGCCCAAGCACACATGGGGGAAGGAGGAAGCCATAGGGCGTGTGGGTGTGTGGGTGTTGGGGTGGGGGCAGGTCAATGGGATTGAAAGGGTCGCTCTATAAAAGGCCCACAGACCGGATGGGCTGTAAGTTTCTATTGGACACTGTTTTTTTTTGTGGATCGCCAAGTGTTAATTCATATTAATGTTGTTTACACACACACACACACACCCAACACGCACACCTCCTCTCACACACACAGCCAATACACGCGCACACCCACCCAAACACACGCAACATACATTTACACACAACATACACGCGCAACATACATAAACAGACACACCGACTCTCACACACACCCGGACACAAAATACCTACACACATACTGTCGCTCTCACACGAGAGAGGAGAAAGAAGCCTGAAGAGAGCAATGTTACACTTCAGCCCCCAACCCCCCACTCTCTCCCCCCTTCCACACCCCCCCGCCCACCCAACTCTACTCTCCCCCCCACCCCCAGGCCTGTGCCGCCCGCACTGCCATCCACACGGAAACTGAAAGATACGGAATCCGACACAACGCAAATGGCTTATTTTGTTTTGTTACACTGCGAAATGAGAGAGAAAGAGAGAGAGAGAGAGAGCGCAAGAGAACCAGAGGGAGAGAAAGGGAGAGAGAGAGAGAGAGAGGAAAGAAAGAGAGAAAAGGGAGAGAAAAGTTAGAGAGAGAGAAAGAGAGGGAAAGAGAGATAAACGAGAGAGAGAGATGCACACAACAACGACGACGACAACAACATCAACCACAACAGTGCTGTAAAGCTGCAAAATTAACACATGGCGCACTCGGGTGTGATTTCATTACCATCCGAAGTTCGGCTATTTACAGAGTTACAGTAAAGCAGAGCCATGGTCCGGGCGACAGCTCAGTCCCCCCCCCGGTTACAACCCAAACCAATGGCCGGACACCTTCGGTCCGTACTAGAATAATGGCCTCTTCCTTCAACCCCCCCCCACCCCCGCGCGCGCGCCACCCCACCCCACTCCCACCCCCAACACCTCGCCCCGGTCTTCATTTTGTCCGATCAATAAAAAATAGCAACACTGCAGATGTATAACCCCCCCCCCCACCAACCACCCCCCAAACCATCATAGCTCAACATCACCCCCTATCCCTCATCCCTCCCATCCCCCCCCTGTCTCCCGCCCCCCCACCCCCAGTCCCCGTCCACCACCGCTCAAAACAGATGATATGAAGATTTATTTTTTCACAGGAAAACAAACAAATGAAATAAAAAATTCAACGCATGCACCGGGGGCACGGATGGGGGCACGGATGGGGGCAGGGGCTTTGCCAGCATCAATGGCAACACGTGAGTGAAGTCCAGTGAGAAGTTTCCGTGCTCCATGTATTGGAACCAGCCTTTGGAGGAGGTGTGTGTGTGGGGTGGGGGGGCTGGGGGGGGGGGGTGGGGGTATACAGGGTAAAGGGGGTGTGAGGGTAGGGCTGAAATGTCATCGATTATCGTGGAAAAATAACCCTGTGGAAGTACGACTGGTGGGGGGTGGGGGGAAGGCTCGGTGTCAAATCTCGTACAATCTTTTTTTGTTAAAAAAAACATTCAAGTTTTTTTTTGTTTCTTCTTTCTTTCTTTCTTTCTTTCTTTCTTTCTTTCTTTCTTTCTTTCTTTCTTTCTTTCTTTCTTTCTTTCTTTCTTTCTTTCTTTCTTTTTTCTTTCTTTTCCTTCCTTCCTTCCTTCCTTCCTCTCTGCGGAATCATGGACGCTCAAAAAGAAAACAAAAAAAGTCTTTTGTGGCGTCCGCCTCTCCTTTTTGTCAGTCCTTCGCTCACTCTCTCTCTCTCTCTCGTTCCGAGCTCTTTGCACGTTGTCCGTCCGTCCGTCCGTCCAATAAAACAAATGGCTGCCGGCACAGGCAACAGTAAATGCCCTTGATCGCCGTTCCTTCCACTTCCTCCGCCTCCTCCTCCTGTCCCCCCCTCCTCCTCCTCCTCCTCCTCTTCCTTCTCTCCGTCCTTTCTTCCCTTTCTCCGCCACCTCCCCCTCACAGGTAGATCTCCCGCTTGGAGTTTTGGGAGCCGCTGGGCGGAGTGTGCTGGAAGTCCGTGGTTTGTGTGAGAGGGATTTCCTCGAGAGCGCAGTCCGGTCCCGGCTCGTGGTTGGAGAAGGCACTGTACGTGGGGATCAGACGAATGTTGGCCACCTTGGCTTTTCGCTCGTCCACTAGCCGGGGGCTGCCACCGGCCGGTCGCTCCTGCCCCGCCCGCTCCTGGTAAGGCACGAAAGTGGACAGTTTGGGGGCGTTCTTCTGCTTCTTGTTGGGGGACAACTGGCCGGGCATCCAGCAAGCGTCCGAGTGTCCGAACTCCGAACATTCCCGCGTGCAGTTCCCAGTCATAGCCACGTCAGGGAGCGGTCTGAGATCTAGAGACGGACAGAGAGAGAGAGAGAGAGAGTGGAAGCTCCTTTAGGCTTACGTTCCACCACAACAACAGATCAAACGACTCAACATTGCCTCTAAGTATTCCCGCAGGGTTGGGAAGGAGACCGTAACATGCTCTCTCTCTCTCTCTCTCTCTCTCTCTCGCTCTCTAAAATTCCCGGTTTGTCCCGTCCGCAAGCAAATATAACAAATAAATAACCTTCCCTCTAAGACATCGCCCCATTGTCATTGTAACGTCTCCTCTTCAAGCAATCCAGCGAACCCGGGTTTGATTCCCGGGCGGGACAGGATAGGGCGAAACCCTGGGCAAGTTTTCTTACTCCACACACACACACACACACACACACACACACACGTGATCGCCTCTGTTTAACCAGCAGTAAGTAGGTTGTTAGTCGATTGGCGGATCAGTTTCCGGGGTTAATAATCCATCAAAATAATAATAATAATTTGGTCACTTCAATCCACGGCTGTTTGTTTGTGGGACGCTGCTGTGCACAATTGGCTGCCGCGTTTCGTCCACAAAACCCACAGTCAATCCGCTTCAGAGTGCAGTCTGTGAAGCGCTTTGAGACGTCTCGACGACGTGATAAGGCGCTGTATCAAGTGCAAGCATTATTATTAGTAATAATAACAACACTAATAATATAGTGGCCGAGATGCTCGCGGGAAGTCTGGCATCTGCCGCTATTATTCCGAGCAGTTTACCTGTTGCCCGGAACACAGTGCAGGATTAAGCACCAAAGTCCAAACACAGTGTGAAAGCACTCCAGTGGCGATTGATTCCGATGCGTAGACAAACACACACACACTCGCTCACACATTGCTCTTCAATATCGCTCGTTCCCTTTCTCTCTCTCTTTCTCTCTCTCTCTCTCTCTGGAGCTTTCAACCTCCGCTCTCTCTCTCTCAGCGAGAGACAGCAGGAACCTCAGGCACCACGTCTTAAACTGCGAGGGACGTCTGAAACGGTCCACAGCCTGCCGCTGGAGACCAAGGCAAGGCTTCCTCAAAGGGTGCGTTAACGGCCCAAAACATTTTATAACAGTGTCTGGGGCCAGCGGAGCGACTGCGGATCTGCCAGTCAAAGACGGGGAAGATTCTCGCACTCGTCTTCAAATCCCTTTGCGGGCTTCCTCCCTCCCTCTCTCTCTCTCTCTCCCCCCCACTTCCTTCTTCTCCGTCTCTACCTCCTTCCTTCGCTCTCTCTCTCTCTCTCCCTCCTCCTCCAGTCCTGTCCTCCATGCCTCAAGACACCCACCCGGCTCAAAAAATTAAACCCCCCCAAAAATCTCTATACATGTGGGTTGTTACACAGTAAGATTCACATCAGTCGTAACAGTCGGGACCATAACATTTAATATGACTTACGCGAAGTCCGAGCTGCAGGCAGACTGTAGGAGTCGTAGAAAATCCAATTTAATCAACAATCTGCACTGCGCAAGCATAATTTAACGCAGTCGGTGAGTGTTCATGCGTTGACGGGTCAAGGCGCCATTTCACCGCGAGTCAAGGCCAGCCGGTAAGCGCGAGAGCAATGGAGGGGAACGGAGTGGCGATACGAGTCAGGAGGCGACTGATACGAGTAAGTGCAAAGGAATCTTATGTGGTTTCGAATGGGACTCGTGTGAATGTGTGACTTAAGCATGAGATGGAAGTCCTGCAGTTTAGTGGTCAGAGCTCTCGCCTCGCAAGCGAGAGGACTTTGGTTGGATTCCCGGGTGGGACAGAGCGAAACGTTGGGCAAGTTTCCTTACTCCAAACACACACACACATGCGCACACGCGCCTCCGTTGGCCCAGCAGTAAGTAGGAACCCGGTTGTTAGTCGATTGGAGGATCATTTTTCCCGGTGTAATAATCCCTTCAAAAAAATAATAATAATTTGGTCACTCAAATCACGACTGTTTGTTGGACGCTGCTGTGCGCGTTTCACCCACAAAATACCCGGTCAATCCACTTTACACCGTGTCCTGTGAAGCGCTTTGAGAGGTCTCGGAGGTGTGATAAGGCGCTGTATCAAGTGCGAGGATTGTTATTATTGTTATCGTGATCAACATGAGATTTACGCGAGTTTTACTGCGTTACCAAATTCTGAAACGTGGCATTGATCCAGCATTGGTCTGGATGGGGTTAGGGTGGAGATTATGAGGTTACAAATATTCTCGCCTCGTGGTGTTGATGGGGGGGTGCTGGGGGCGGGCGGGAGGGCGGAGGGGCGGTGGAGTAAGATGTGATATCCAGCACTAAGTGCTGACACTTGGGAGACAGCTAAGTTTGCAAGGAGTTCACCTCTTTGCCTCCGATCGGACAGGCTGGGGGCAGAGGTGAGGACCTCATCTATCACTATCTTAATTATAACAGTCCTCCTGGGCTGTGGTGAGATAGTTAGGGCCACGGACGAACTCTGGAGGCTCCGAGCTTCCTCAACACCGATGGGGAGCGATTTACACCGCCCAGCAAACACTGAGAGCAAGATTCAACCCACTGGCCGGGGAAAAATCAGGCGGGGAAAAGAGAGGGAAAGACAGAGAGTAACAGCAATAATAGTAATAATCCTCGCATTTGACCCAGCGCCTTATCATGACGTTGAGACGTCTCAAGGCGCTTCACAGGATACACTGTAAAGTGAATTAACTGTGTATTTTGTGGGTGAAACGCGGCAGCCGATTGTGCACAGCGGCGTCCACCACAGACAGCCGTGGATTGAAGTGACCAAGTTTTTTTTTGTTGCTGTTGAAGAGTTTATTGCCCCCGGAAAAGGGATCTACCAATCGACTAACAACCGGGTTCCTACTCACTGCTGGTAACCAGAGGCGTGTGAGTGTGTGGAGTAAGGAAACTTGCCTAAGGTTTTGCTCTGCCCGGGAATCGAACCCGGGTCCTCTCGCTTGAGAGGCGAGAGCTCCAACCACTAAGTTTACAGGCCTCCATAATTTGGGGAGATGGAGGCTTTACTGTTGGCCAGGAAACCGAGGGAGGGAGGCAGGGAGGGAGGGAGGGAGGGAGGGGAGAGAGAGAATTTTTTTTTATATAACCGTCTAAAGTGCTTCTGCAAACATTTTCTCCCGAGATGAAAATTCCTGGCACAGGGATCCATTCATCAACCCGGAGAAGCTCTCTCTCCGGAAGGTTTTTGGAAGCTGTAAATCTTGAGGAGTGTTTCTTTTCTTTAGTGGTTTTCAATATAGATCATCCTGACCCAATCTCATTCGCTGCCTGATCTGTACTGCGACCCCTTCTGAAATGGGGGCCTCGAGATTAGGCTTTCCTAAAATTACACTCGAACGTAACCCGTTCCGTTGTGCCTGAAGCCGTAGAGAGGGCGTAGCAGAGGTTAACCTCGCAGAATAAGAAGCATAGATTCTTACGAGCGCAGAAGGAGGCCATTCGGCCCATCGTGCCTCTGCTGGCTCTTTGAAAGAGCTTCCAACTAGTCCCACTTCCCCCCACCGCCCGCTCTTAATACTAATAATCCTTGTGTTTGATAGAGCGCCTTATCCTGGGCATTGCGACATCTCAAAGCGCTTTACAGAATGTGCTGCAAAGCGGATTTGTGCGATTTATTTGGGGGTTGTTGACCAGGACAGTGGGGAGAGAGAGAAAGGGAGAAGAGAGAGAGAGAGAGTGAGAGATAGAAACTCTCTTCTCTTTCCAGTGGATTGATAACGTCTACCTGATCCGGTCTTAAGGTGTGATCTGAGTGGACCTCAGTTTAAGGTGTAAGGCGGTCTTAAGGGACCAGGGAAAGAAGTGGGGGGGGGTGAGGGTTGATGGTTACCTGGTGTGAGAATTCCTGAATTGACTCGAAATAGACTCCCGGTGAAAAGTATGTGGAGTAAAATTTGTTCGATGATGAGCAAGGCAGGAGACTCTGAAATCTGCCTTTCTCCCCAGAGAACCGCTATCATTAGGCTTCAAAAGGAATATTTATTCAGCCTTGATGAGGACGAGAGTGTTTGACGAGATAGCCCCCCCCCCCACCAAAAAAAAATCTCGCTTTTTTCTAAAAGAAAATCTAGGCTAAAAGACGTTAAAAGTTCCAGCTTCTCACCCCGGAGTTCCCGCTCTTGTGGTCAGAGCTTTTACCTGGCAAGCGAGAGGTCCCGGGTTCGATTCCCGGGCGGTTCAGGGCAAAACCTTAGGCAAAGTTCCTTACTCCACACACTCACGCGCACGCCTCCGTCGACCCAGCAGTACGTAGGAACCCGGGTGGTTGTTAGTCGTGGTTGAGGGATCGCTTTCCCTTCAAGAAAAAACTGGGGAACTCAACCCACGGCTGTTTGTGGGGCCGCCGCTGTGCGCCATTGGCTGCCGCGCTTCGCCCACAAAAGGCGCGAGTCAATTCCCTTTACAGTGTATTCCGTGAAGCGCTTTGAGACGTCTCAACGACGTGATAAGGAGCTAACCACTACCCCTCCGGGACTCATCGCCTTAGCTTACGCACTTAAGCAGAACTCGACACTCGGTTTATTCTTCTCGATTCGGTTCTCAGTCCCTGACCCCACCTGAGCCCTCGAGACCCTGGACGTGAGTTCTTCTGTGGCTACGCACTTGGCCAGCGAGACCCATTCTTTTCAGACAGGGACCAGAGGACAAAAATCGCACAGCGCAAAACACGCTCGTTTCTTTTGTGGGGGCAGATTCGATGAACCTGACCCCTTCCTCTCACCCCCCCCACCCTCACCTCGCACCCCACCCCCCCCGAAAAGGAACGAGCATGTGAGTTGTTTCGCTCTGACAGGTCTGTCTTCAAACCCAGGGCTTGTGAGCCGGGGAGAGTGCATCAATTAGCAGCAGATGACAGCTGAGGTGTTGTAAGCTTGTCCTGAGGGGAAACTTTCCTCATCTCAATATGACAGTCATCTCCTCCTCAGGGATGTTAAGACACTTTACATTGTCCAACCTCAGCCACGACGTGTGTTCAGCGGTTAACACCGCACCAGAGGCTCACATTCTCACAGCATTCCCCCCACACACAC